TGCTAAGGTAGTGGGTATTTGTGATTCCAGATCCCTAGTCAGAGCCAGCTAGACTTGGGTGAGCGTCTGACCCAGCTGGGTCTATTCGATCCTTGCTCCAGGAGTTTGGAATAGGGGCATAGCAAAAACTGGGAAGTGGGCAGAACAGAGATAGTTTCCCTCTCCCCATCTCTATCTACTTTTCTGGGACCATGGGGGTTTTCCTGAGAAGCTCTAAGTTGGTTTTAAAAGGAAACCTAGATTTAAAACAACTGAAATATTTATCAACAGGGAACTGATTAAATCATGGGACATCTATGTTATGGTACATGATGCTGCAAAATGAAAAGAATGAAACTCTTTATGAACTGATCATTCCTGAGAATGATCTCCAAGGTATATTGTTAAGAGAACAATACAAAGTACAGGATAGGAGTTACAGTACACCACCATTTGTATAACAAGGAAGGAAAATATAATATATGCTTAGACCATTGCCTTTAATATACTTATTATGTCAGGGCTTACGTCTATCATTTTATTATTTGCTTTCTGTTTGTGTCCTCTGTTTCTCACTCCTCCATTTTCCTTTTCTTGTCTTCCTGTGGGTTACTTGAATAAAATTTTCATATATATATATCACAGTCTACTGATATTCTACTGATTTTGTTTTATCAATTTGAGTGAAGTGCAGAAACTTGACTCCCATTTGGCTCCCATTATCCTCCTCAATTTTAGATATAATTGTCATGAGTATCAAATAATGTTATAATTTTTATGCTAATCATCATATGTAATTTAAAAACTAATGAGGAGGATAATCTATTTTATTTACCCATATTTCTGCATTCTTCATTTTCCCTCCTTCCTTCCTGATGATCTAAGATTCCTTTCTTCATCATTTTCTTTCTTTATCTGAGAATATTTTTATTTTCCCGTAATTCCTGAAGTATAGTATCACCAAACACAGAATTTACAGCTGACAGCTCTTTATTTTTAACACTTGAAAAATGTTGTGTCACTTCTGGCCTCTGTTGTTTCAGATGAAAAATCTGCTGTCATTTGAATTGATGTTCCCTCATAAATAATGTGTTGTTTCTCTGTCTGCTTTTGAGGTTTTGTGTTTTGTTTTGTTTTTTGTCTTTAGCGCTCAGAAGTTTAATTATGATGTGTCTTGGCATGGATTTCTTTAGATTTATCCTATTTATGGTTCACTCAGCTTCTGGATCTGTAGGTTTATAGATTTGCCAAGCTCGGGGAATTTTTAGTCATTATTTCTCTGAACAGCCTTTTGATCCCATTTTCTTTCTTTCCCTTTTAGGACTCTAATGCTATACATGTTGGACCTTTTGTTACAGCTGTACAGGTTCCTGAGACTCTGTTGTTTATTTTCAGTTTATTTTTCTCTCTGTTGTTCAGGCTGGTTAAGTTCCATTGATCTGTCCTCAACTTCGCTGATTCTATCCTCAGTCAGCTCCCTCTACTACAGAGCTCTTCTAGTTTGTTGTAGCATTTCAGCTATTTTCCAGTTCTATAATTTCCACTTGGTTCTTTTTTTATAATTTCTCTTTCTTTGGTGAACTTTCTATTTTTTTTCACTTGTTTCAAGAGAATTTGTAATTGCTTGCTGAATCTTTTTTATTATAGTTACTTTAAAATACCAATAAATCCAATATCTGGTTCATCTCAGTGTGGAAGTCAGATGACTATCTTTTCTCATGTAACTTGTGATTTTCTTGGTTCTTGGTACAATGAGTGATATTCATGTGGACATTTTGGCTGTTGTATTAAGAGACTCTGATTCCTATTTATATATTTTTTTATTTTAATGGGCAGCTACTCTGGATTTAACATGCATTTTCTAGCTTGTGGTCCCTAACCAATTCATCTTTTCTTTCTACCTTTCAGGGTTCTCTTTTACTTGTCTCTTGCATTGTTTCCAAGGCTTTTTAGTCATGTTTAGCAGGGAGGATCAGAGAGAGACAAACCTGTACTGTCTTGCCCAGATGAGAAAGTCTGGATATATGCTTATAGAGGTAGGTGATCTCTCTAGAAGGGTACACAGGGAATTGCTTTCCCCTGAGACAGAACTTGGAGATCTGATGTATGAGGGAGATTTTTTGTATACCTGTTTGTTTGATCTCATTTTAATCAGGTAAATATATTATCGATTCAAAAATAAAAATAAAATATAAATGAAGAAAAAAAAATGTTTTCTAACTCAGCCTTGTTTTCAAGAGCACAACCAAGGATTACAACAGAGGTCAAGCAGCGTATGGATTCAACAGTTGGTAATTTTATTAAATTTCACTGACTTTTAATTTTGCTACATTTTGACTGCTTTAATTCAGATCCCTGAATATAACAATAATATTATGGGTAGTTTTTCAGCCTGCTCATACACTTTGAATAACTTCCAGAATACAAATGTGTAATTTAGATAGAAGCAGATGCTTTTGGCAGCATACTAGTACCCTAATCAGCTGAAAAAATAATATTTGTATGACATTAAAACAAAATTAATAGGAAGATGTTGACTACATGAAAAGACTTTAGGTTGTAATTATTAAACTTGCAAACAGCTCGGCATAATTAGTGCCTTAATTAGGATATTACCTGAAATTTTAGCTTACAAAATTAATAAAGGCAACTAAAAGTCACATTTGTAAAGTGAATTTTAAAACTTACAAGGTAGTTAGTTAGACATCACTTTTTTTTTTCAAGTTGGAGAGCATCTTTGTAGGTATTAAGCTTATAATACAATTACTTTAATTTCCAACTCCCACCCCAGCACAATGTCTCAGCACCAAAGCTTTAAAAGTCAAGTTTAGTAACCCTCGTCCAAGGGTGTCCAGGCACAGGGCTGAGCAGCTCCCAGGCACACACCTGGATAGCTCTAAGACCCAATAAAATGGCAAAGACTCTTTCTCTCCCCACTACCTTACATGAAATATAAGCTGGAAGATGGACACTGACTTTGGTCAAACTTTACTATTTTCACAGAACTGTTTGGATTCAAATGGCAATTTCCACCACTGTCACTTATTCTTCAACACATGCTCCTTGAAGGCCTTTTGGGTCCTACAGTTTACCACACAGTGAGGGTTCCAATACAAAGCTAAAGTATTTTTCCATCAATAGATAAAAAGAGAGAATTCAATAAATTTTGGTGGGCTAGTGATTTAGGAAAAAATAAATGTGAAATCATACCTTTATTCCTCATGTTAAACTCCAAATTGACCAAAGAATTAATATAAAAAATGTAAAATCATAAGTGTACTAGAAGAAATGGGCTAATCCTATATAATACAAGGCTAATACAGTGGGGTCTTGACTTACGAGTTTAATTCATTCCGTGACGGAGCTCGTAACTCAAATTACTCGTATGTCAAATCAAAAAGTGAACGAGTGAGACAGTGATGCTGGGCTGATGTTGTGGTGTTCACTGTGACGTTCGCTGCGCCAACTAGCAGTGGGGTATCTGAAGCTGGCTTGTAACCCAAATTTTAGCTCGCAACTCAAAGCAAAAAATCGGCCGAGAGACAGCTCGTATCTCGAAAAACTCGTTAGTGGGGACACTCATAAGTCAAGGCCCCACTGTATGCAAATTGTCCCCTCAGGAGTTCGACTGGCCGCTATGATGTGCACTGACCACAAGGGGGCGGCACAGAACTAAGTAAGACCTCAGACAGCAGCCAGCAGCCAGGGGAAGGAAGGCCCCAATCAGCCCTGATTGCCAGCCAGGCCTAGTGACCCTCCCCGTGCACAAATTTTGTGCACTAGGCCTCTAGTATTTTTATAATATTGTAATTGGGAGAGGCTTTTTAACCATGACAGATAAGATAAAATCCATAAAGTAAATGACTAACAAATTTATCTACTTAAAAATTCTAAACTTACATACATCAAAAACCCCCATAAGTTTTAAAAACCTAATTCAAGGCCAAATAAGAAGTAACTGATTAAAAATAAACATGAATTTATATTTTGATTCATTTTTTTTTCTAACAGCACAACTTTATTCCTCAATAAATAAGGACATAATTGAAAATGTACATCATGTTTTATGTACAAGGAAATTAACTCTGGGGAAAAATTAAAAGAATGTACATGTTTTTAAAAATAGCTAACAAGGTAATTAGAAAATAGCCATAGCATTAAAAATCAAAATATTTAATAGCACCAGTATACTTTTATGATAGGACCTTGTTAAAGTGAAAGAGAATATAGATGAATCCAACTTAAGTTTAAAATGTCTTATTTAAACAGGAAAAAGAGACTGGAAGGAAAAAATATCAATGATAATTATCATTAGAGATAGAATTATGGATATATGTTATTTTTATTTTTAGTAGTTTCCAATTTTTCTATAATAAGTAAATTATTTTTGTACTCAATCCTTTAAAAAAAAAATCCTTGGAGGTTTAAATAAAAAAGTGTTTCAAATTTTCCCAAAAATAGCTAACTTGAAACTAGATCAGATATGAAAGATCAAAACTGAAGAGTTAAAAAGTATAGCATACAATACAACAACAAACCCCCCTTAAAAAAAAAAAAAAAAGATTTGTTGAAACTATATTATATGGGCTATGGGCTTAATCACAACTCCTATTCATTCACAGTGAGATCGCTCTCTCTCCATCTCTTTCCTCCTTCCCCTCCTTCTCCTCCTCCTCCTCCTCCTCCTCCTCCTCCTCCTCCTCCTCGTCCTCCTCGTCCTCCTCTCTTTCCGTCCCTTTCTTCCCCCCACCCTTCTCTCACCCCTACCTCTCTCATTGTAGGCTTAGAACATAGGCTGCCCTTTCCTAAGGCCCAGCATCACGAGACAGTTCTTTCATAAAATCAGTGTCGGCCTCTCTATTCCTAACTGCCTGTGTTTATGGAACAGGGAACATGAGCTCCCAAACTGAGATTACCTGGTCTTAGCAGAGAGCAAATACCTTTAATTGAAGGCCCTTGCCAATCACAAAATAACCATCTCTAGTAGTACAGGATATGTCATCATTGAACTGACTTTGTACCTGTAGGTTTTCTTAATTTCTTCATTTGATGCTCCCTTATGCAGACCAAGAATTTCATACAGAGCTTCTCCGGAGGTTGACATAGTCCGCTGTCTTTGGTTAGGGACGTTACATGCCATTTTCTCCTGCTGTAAAACCAAAAGGGGGAAATCGCCATGAAGGTTATGCATACTGGATCCTAAAAGGAAGATAGTTCATTTCTGGCCTTTTGCAAAATGACAACCTGAAGTACATTTTTATACCAGCTGCAAAATGAGGGGAGCAAAGGGTTAGGATTGCCAAAAGGAGAACTTCAAGTCAGTATGAAAGGTTACAGGCAGCTATACAAATGGAATATGGTTTTGTCCATATGGAAAAATAGAAGCAAGATGTTATCTAAGTATTCAACTAATTCAGAATTATTGAGAAACAATCCTCATAGGTCAGGCATGTGTAGATTTATTTTTAAATAAATCTGTAGAACTTATAGAACTCCTTCCTTGTCTGCTTTCCAAAGTTAGCCAACAATGGAAATAATCATCCATTTTGCCTTGACCTATTGGCCTAACATAGGGCAAGAGTTTAAAAAAACAAAAACAACTTTTTATTAAGGAAAAAATCCTGGCCTTATCTGGGAGCCAGGTTAGAACTGCTGGAGCTATGTGATACCAGAGGTCCCACAGTGCTCATGGGTTCTGCCCCTGAGATAGCTCCTTTCCCGGAAGTCTATTCGGAAAGAGTTGTGCTATCCCAAGTCCCAAGGACCATCTTCCTGCTATGTTCTGGCTCTAGGAAGGGCCAGGCAGAGTAGCAAGCACACTAGGGGCATTCCTACATCCACCACTTAACCTCTCCACGCCTTAATGTCTTCACCTATAATATAAGGATAAAAAAGACAGCATAAAGACATCTTAAAGATTTAGAAATAATGCATCTGATATACCCAGAATATAGTAGGTTCAAAGGAAAATGTAAATATTTTTATTAAAGGCAGCACAGTGTATAAATCAGGGAGTGCACTGTAGTCAGACCCTCTGGGTTAGAATGTTGGCTTTGCCATGACCCAGCTGCATGGCTTTCCCTATCTGTAAATGGGAGACAAAAAATGAGCCTAAACATAAGAATTAAATCAATTAATATATTAAACAAAAATGAACACCATTGTTCATAGCAGAATTATTCATAAAAGCTAAAAGGTGGAAACAACCCAAATGTTCATAAAGAGATTAATGAAAATGTGGTGGGTACATACAATGGGATATTTTTCTGTGATGAAAAGAAATGGAATCCTGACACATGCTACAATATGGATGAACCTTGAACATTATGCTAAGTAAAATATGCTAAACCAGTCACAAAAGAACAAATATTATATGGTTCCTCTTATATGAGGTAACTTGAATAGGCAAATTCATAGAGACAGAAAGTAAAATAGAGATTACCAGGGGCTGAAGGGGAGTGGGGAATGGGGAGTTATTGCTTACTGGGTACAGAGTTTCTTTTTTGGGATGATTAAAAAGTTCTGGAAAAATACAGTGATGATGGTTTAAAATCATAGTGATTGTACCTAATGCCACTCACTGTACAACGTTCACTGAGTCTGGCGTCTCAGGGGCCTCTAAAACCATCCTGATCCATCAGGCAACATTGGGCAAGCTCTGCTCTTGCCTGTGTTGGTTTGGTTATTAGCCTGCTGGGAGCAGAGCTGGAAAGTTGGTTCCCACCAAGCCCACCTGACACTGGGACATTCCCGTTGGGCTCTGCTGCTGTCAGCTCTATTTCTATAGATTCCCTAAGTTGAGCATGAGTATCTCCACATCCCTGACACCACATTCTGGGCTCTGCTATAGTCATTCATTCACATTCATTCACTGATAACACTTGCTACACAAGGCCCAAAGCCAAGAGATAAATGATGATTTTCAAGGAACTGTGGTCAGAGGAGCGGACAATCTAAGTAGTTTTTATGTGTGTGTGTTTTGCTGTTGCTGTTGTTGTTGTTGTTTTGCTTTTATGGTAAAATATAACATAAAGCTTACCAGGATAATTGTAGATTTTTCTTAAATCACTGCACGTAGTCTTCCTTTAAATTGAATGTGACTTCTAGATATTTGGGGATGAATACTTTGGGGGAAATTACAAGGGAATATTAAGAGATTCAAACCAAACAGATTCAGATGTATTGTGTAGACATTACTAGTATGGATAAAAGAAGCAGTGATTCCCAGTAGAGGCACATGCCCAGGTTGTGAACTCAATCTCCAGTGTGTGGTGTGCAGGAGGCAGCCGATCAATGATTCTCTCATCATTGATGTTTCTCTTTCTCCTCCCTCTCCTTTCCTCTTTGAAATCAATAAAAATACATTAAAAAAAAGAAGAAGAAGCAGCAGAGATAAATTTGGGTCAACATGCTTCCATAAAGAAAGTATATCTAGCTAGTCAAAAGCACTAAGAAGAAAAGTATGGCAAATAGTTACCTTTGCTTTATCTATTTTTCTCTATATTCAGCATTCAAAAGGAAGTTGTAATTTGAGGGGGAAAATGTATTCACTCTTCATCTGTATCATGAAATAAGACAGATATCAGGGTTCCCAAAAATCAACTGATAGCCCTAAAATCAATTTTAACAAGGCACAGACATACACAATCTTCACTTTGAGAGCATCTACTCCATGACCAGCTTTAATTCCTCATATTTGGGTCTTGCTGTCACTAATCCAGGAAAAAGATGTACATAGTATTAAAGATAATCTGCTAAACATATTATGGTAACACCCACAGCAGACAATTCAGTTACTTATTTTTCAAAATCTGCAGTGCAGGCCTGGTCTTTAGGGAGATTGCAAATTAATATGGGATGCAAAACTGAAAGCCAATAATGAAACTAGTGTTCAGGGTTAAACTAGTACTAAGCATAGAGGGCCAACTGAACGGAAAGGAATCTTCTGGAGGACAGGGATTCAGCTTTGAGTCCTGGCATTGTGCCTGGCACCTATTAGGTATGCAATAAATGTCTGTTGGGTAATTAAATGAAAGAAGATTTTCTGGTTTGGGGGTTGAAAGAAGAGGGACATTTTGACAGTTTGACTGGAACATTTTTTTTCTAAGGCTGCCTCCTTCAAAGTTATCCCAGGTGTGGAACAACAGAGATGGGGTCAGTTGGGGGCTACCATTTCCAGCGAATAGTACTGGAAACAGCCTGGGTTTTACCCTTCCCTGTCCCATGGCCATCCCTCTATGCACTCCTCTTCCCAATGGAAAGAAGAAAGGCAGATTGCATCTCTCAGATAATTTCATACATAGAAACTCACACCAGCAAAGACATCATAGCTGGCTATTCCTTTGGTTTATGTATTTTTTCAAATCATCTCTTCAATTATAAATCTAATCACACTGTAATCTGTACCTAAGTGAAATATGGTAGCTGACTTGCTCTGTGATATGGGTTGAATAATATTCAGAATGGATTGTTATAGGAAGTTTGGAAATTTTTTATTCTATCTATCACCTTCTTTGCCTTATTCCCCAAAGATTTCCTTTCAGTCAGATAAATGTCTTTAATTAAAGTTGGTCAATGTGGTCAGTGGTTGGCTAACTACAAACTGAAACATAAAGCAACCAAAAGACTGCAAGGCTGCTCTCTGCACATCCAACAGCAACAAATTCTACTTTTTCTGTTTCCTTACTGAGCTGGAAACCAGACTCTTCATATATTATTGATATAGACAACATTTAGTTTCAAATTCAATAGAGTAATACATTGGAACCCTTAGTTGTTTTAATGTGTAAAAATATATTATGCTCTGAGAACATACAAACTACAGAGTAATAGTGAAGACATTCCCTAAAATCTCTCCTTAAATAACCTTAAATAATGGAATCATACCCTTATTTAACTCCTTATATAAAATATAATTTTATGAATTCTTTTTCTGTAGCCTTTGAATTCTAATATTCCTATGCAAAATTCAAGTCATTATTATTTATTCATAGTCTCTCATCCATAAGCTAGCCAATGGAGTAAAAAATGTTGTCATGCAGTTATTAATTTAATCTTGATCATCCAGTACTTGATACTTAATCTTCTGGACTTAAATAAGTTCTAGCTGCATTATAATTCATTAATATCATAATTTCTTAAAGCATTGATTACTGTACAGTCACTACCAAACCATATATGGTCACCCTGTCCCTTATAGGTGTAATTAAAAGAAGATTCAGCATGCTGATGATAGGTATCCAATTCAAAATAAACACATATTTAAAGGTTCTACAAATGCTGTTGTAAATTCTTTATGTTCACTTTGAAATGTTCCTTTCAAAGTAAAAGAAGCTTCGTCTATATCTATTATGTGAATTCTGAAAAATGGAAAAAAAAATCAAACAGTGCTTTTCTTGGCAGGGTCCCTTCATAGTTGAGAAAAAGAAAATGGTCAGGGGAGATAATCATTAAACACAGCAAAAACTCTTTTGATGGCTTGGATTGGGAAAACCAACATGCTCTACTATTCTGTTATTACTTCTGTAATTCCTCCATAGGACTCTACTTATTGGAGGAAAATCTCCTTATTCAAATTGTGTATCTTAAAGCTAAACACACATTCAAAAAGCTAATTCTGTTTTAAAATTATAATTGTTCCTAGCATAATTACTTATTTACTATTGAAAAATAATTCTCTCTTAATTGCACTGGTACTTACATAAACAGCAACCTCAAGACACACAACTCAGAAATGTTACAATACACACAGTACCTGTTCCTATAACTCCGATTCTGTGTTCTCAATCAGGAACAACGTGACGTTTTTAACTAGTCTGGAAATAGATGTGCAAAGAAATACAGGAAGGCAAAACCGAAAGGACCTGTTCCATACCTATTCCACTGTTTCAAAGCAAACAGTGGCTCCTTTCCATCGTTCCCATACGGAGTTAAGCAGGTCAATGGAGTCAAGTTACTTTTCATTTGTTACTCTATCAGCCAATTGGTTATCCCTCTGGAAAACATAACAAAGAGAGAATAAAACATGCATGACCATAAAGGTTGCCATTACAAGGCATCTAGTGATCCCAAAATAATGCTACCTCTATTTTGTTCATTAGTCAGCTGGTACTTGGTTTAATCAAGTGCTACAATGGAACTGCCACCAGGTTTTCACCAGAACTTTAAATTAAGAAAATGTGCTAATCTCCTGATATGCAAAATGAATTCTTATAATATTTTTATTGAGATATAATTGACAAAACATTATATTAGTTTCAGATATACAACATAATGATTAATTTTGTTATATATTGCAAAATGATCACCACAATAAGTGTTATTAACATCCATCACCTTACATAGTTACAAAAATTTTTTCTTGTGATGAGAACTTTTAAGATCTATTCTCTTAGCAACTTTCAAATGTGCAATACAGTATTAACTATAGGCACTGTGCTGTATATTACATCCCCATGACTTACTTTACAACTGGAAGTTTGTACCTTTTGACCCCTTTCATCCATTTTGCCCAACCCCCAGCCCCCATCTCTGGCCACTGCCAATCTTTTCTCTATATCTATGAGTTCTGTTTTGGTTATCTATATATATAAAAGGTTAATATGCAAGGTGTCCCCGCGGGAGTTCGACCGGGAGACCTCGAGTTCTATCGCTCACTATGACATGCGCTGACCACCAGGAGGCTCTGGTCAGCATCCGGCAATTGGGGAAGGGAGGCCCCAGCCAGGAGCCAGAAAGCCCCGATCAGCCCTGATCACCAGCCAGGCCTAGGGGCCCTACCTGTGCATGAATTTCATGCACTGGGCCTCTAGTTCAACATATAAAAGAGATTGTATGGTATTTGTTTTTCTCTGTCTGATGTCACTTAGCATAATGCCATCAAGGTCCATCCATGTTGTCATAAATGTCAAGATTTCCTTTTTTATTTTAATAGCCAAATGAGACCCCAGTGTGAGTGTGTGTGTGTGTGTGTGTGTGTGTGTGTGTGTGTGTCACATTCTCTTTATCTGCTCATCCATTGATGGACACAGGTTATTCCCATTTCTTGGCGATTGTAAATAATGCTGAAATGAACATAGGGGTGCATATATCTTTGAAAATTAGTGTTTTCTTTTTGTTTGTTTGTCGTGGTTGTTTCAGATAAATACCCAGAAGTGGAATTGTTGGATCATGATAGTTCTATTCTTAATATTTTGAGGAACTTTCATACTGTTTTCCAGAGTGGCTGGACCCATTTGCAATCCCACCAACAGTGCACAGAGGGTTATGTTTTCTCTACATCCTTACCAGCCCTTGTTATTTCTTACCTTTTTGATAATAGCCATTTTAACAGGTGTGAGGTAATATCTCATTATGGATTTGATTTGCATTTACTTGATGATTAGTAATGTTGAGCACCTTTTAATGTACCTGTTAGATATCTGTATGTCTTCTTTGAAGAAATATCTACTCAGATCCTCTGCCCATTTTTAAATCTGATAGTTTGGGGTTTTCTGCTATTGAGTTGTATGAGGTGTTTGTATTTTGGGGACATTAATCTTTAATTAGATAAGTGATTTGCAAATATTTTCTTCCATTTGGTATGTTGCCTTTTCATTTTGTTGATGGTTTCATTTGATGTGCAGGGTTTTTTTTAATTTGATGTAGTCCTACATGTTAATTTTGCTTTACTTGCCTTTGTTTTTAGTGTCAAATCCAAAGTATCATTGCCAAGACCAATGTCAAGGAGCTTACTGCCTGTCTTTTCTTCTATGAGTTTTATGGTTTCAGGTTTTACATTCAAGTCTTTAATCCATTTTGAGTTGATTATTGTGTCTGGTATAAGACAGGAATCCAGTTCCATTCTTTCACATGTGTCTGTCAGTTTTCCAAACATCATTTATTGAAGAGACAGTTCTTTCTCCACTGTATATTCCTGGTTCCCTTGTCATAAATTAATAGGCCACACAAGTGTGGCTTTATGTCTGGGCTCTCTATTCTCTTTCATCTTTGTGTCTGTTTTTAATGCCAATACTATATGTTATGATTATTATAGCTTTGCAATATAGTTTGAAATCAGGGAGCATGATACCTCCAGCTTTGTTACTCTTTCTCAAGATTGCTTTTGCTATTCGGGGTCAAAGTGGGTTCTTCTAGATTTTATTTTCTTTAGGTCTAAGGCTAGAAATAATCATTTGCTTTAAAGTTACTGGAAAGACCATGTAACATTAATAAGGAGGAAACTGTAATTGCTCAGTATATAATTCAATTATTTTTATATCTGAACATTTTATCCTACCCTTAGTCAAGAAGAACTGAATCACAGTTACCCACATCTTAGTCAAGGTGACTGAGGTGGTTTTAAAGAATTAAGGGATCTCTTGTTAAAACAATACCCAACTCTCAGATGCAAAAACGAGAGAATAGTTTCTGTGATTTCAGGTAGGATTCTATGGACAGAAAAAGTCTTAAATCAACTGAGGCAGGTGTTACTCCTGAATTTGGCACAGTGGGTCTGTCTGGCTCCTGAAGCTCAGCAGAGTTGAAAGGTGCTGCTTAGCTTGACACCTAGCTTGGGGCTATTTTGTGTGAACATTTTAGCACTCTGATCTCTAGATGGCACTGTTTTGTTTTGCTTTAGATACAGCATAAAGGAACGAAAGGCTGTTTCTCATAGATCCGGGTTTCCAACCAGAGTTTAGGAAGCAGCCCTTTGTCATGCAGAGAATTAGGTGTGTGTGTGGGGGGGGGGGGGGGGGGCGGGCGGACAAAAGACATTCAGATCTAAGTTCCAGAATCACTGCAGCTTTAGGACAATGTCCTTTGATGGGTTAATGTGATGAGATTAAGGGTGACTTTTTTTAAAATTACAGTTTCTCAAATTCAGTGTAATAAATTATTTAGTAAAATTCATTATTTTGCAGAATTAACTTTCTTCTCAAATCATTACTTTTAATTTTTAAAATATTGAAAAAAACATGAGTTTTGAAATTTATTTAAGTATTGCAAAACTCATAGGTGAAGTAGAACTGTAGCTATGTTTCAAAGAGCAAGCACAGTTTCTTATTTATCTAGTCATTCAACAATTAGTCACCTACTAGGATCCAGGGGCTAAATGCTAGAAATATACTAGTAAACAAGACCAACCACAGAGTCTGGGTTTGTGGGTCACAGAGTTACAGCCTACCAAGAGAGACAGATATTAATGAAATGAATATTCAAATAAATATAAAAATGAGACTTTGGAGAGATGCAACAAGGCCATGCAAATCAGTGGAACAAGGGAAATCAGAGAAAGCCTCCCAGAACAAAAATAACCAAGCAGGGATATGAAAAGAATTAGATGTTGAGGTTGCTGGTAAAATCAGATATATTCTAGGCAGGTGAAAGAGCATGGTCAATGGCCCTCATGCTAAAATTAGAGAAATAAAAGAGACGTGCTGACGTGCTTTCATACATAGTGCATAGAATGGCAGCATATGCCTCTACAAATATGACTTCTGATATATCCTCTGAAGATACAGCCAGAGGTTAATGGGATCATATTCCACTTAAACAGGTGAGGCTTTCCAGAAGTGGTGAGCTTCAATGATGTTTGTAAAAGGAAATAACTCATGGTAAGCCCATAAATAATTCCCCAAAGCAAAATGCACCAACTATATTGTAAAAGCATTGCCAATTATGTCATTTGGGTTTGAAGAGGCTGACTTAGAAGATATTGCAAGATTGAAACAAAGTGGCCTTTCTGTGATGTAGAAAATTGGAGAGAGAATGGTGTGTGTGTGTGGGGGGAGGGGGGTGTTACTTGCTAATTTCCCTGGTGTATTCTATTTATGGAATCTGCACTATTCCTTTATTCACTACTAGAGGCCAGGTGCATGAAATTCATGCATGGGGGTGGTCCCTCAGCCCAGCCTGTACCCTCTCCAATCCGGGACCCCTCAGGGGTTGTCCGACTGCCCACAGGGATTGGGCCTAAACTGGCAGTCGGACATCCTTCTCGCAATCCAGGACCGCCGGCTCCTAACCGCTTGCCTGCCTGATTGCCCCCTAACTGCTCCCCTGCTGGCCTGATTGGCTTGAACTGCCCTCCCCTGATGGCCTGATTGCCCCTAACTGCCTCTGCCTCAGCCTCCGCCACCGTGGCTTTGTCCGGAAAGATGTCCGAAAGATGTCTGGAAGATGTCCGGTCTAATTAGCATATTACCCTTTTATTAGTATAGATTCCTTTTGGGTGCTTCTAGAGACATTGTATATACCTGGCCCAATGATTGTATAGAGTTAGGGTTATTATAAATAATGGCAAGTACATCAACACAGAATCTGCTGCTGGTGCTAGACAAATTTGAATATTCAACCAAAATAATCTATCATAAACATTAGGGTACATAGTCTTTCATTTAAACTTCCTATCTTAGCAGGTGCAAACACTACTCATTATGAACATGTGATGTGCAAGTGCACATGGCCCCAACAAGTAAATCCTAATCTAAACAGCCCAAAACAATGAACAAAGACATTATTGCTCTCAGTATTACTATTACCCATCTACATTGTTTATCTATAATAATAAAAGCATAATATGCTAATTAGACCAGACGTCCTTCCAGACAACCTTCCGGATGGGGCTGCAAGGGAAGCCTGGGTCCCAGGTGCCAGAGGGAAGCCAGTGCCAGCAGCTGGGGGGTAGGAAGGCCTGCTCTTATACGAGTTTTGTGCATTGAGCCTCTGGTATTATTATAATAATGCATGGAATTCAGGCCACCACTTTGTAAATTTCAAAGGGAAGAATCATCTGGGAAAGCTTTATTCTGTTAAATGAATTTAGAAAGAGGAAAGACAGGTGATAACTTCGATTTTGTACAATTAAGAGGCTTTTGGTTACCATTCCGATGGCATCTCAGACATAACTACAGAACAATCCTGGCAATTCTTCTGTAAAATCAAGTGTTTATATTTCAGAAGAGCAAATTTGTTAATTTCTATTAGGCTTCATAATTTTCTGAAGTTAAAAAA